ACTGGAGAACTTATTCAAAATCTTTAATATAATTTATTAAAAAAAATATTAAGTTCAGCTAGATATCAGAGATCTAAAAAATATTTAAAATTTTTAAAAGAATCTTTATTATTATCTTTATCTTTGTGTATTGGGATCCTAAATAAAAAATATTAATAAAAATTAATTTTTTTAAATAATATATAAAAAAAATATTATTTTAATAAAATAATTAAGAAATCCTCCGCCTGGTAATATACTTTTTAAAAAAAAATCTATTTATAAAATATAATTACTAGATTTATAATAAAAAACTACTAATAATTATCTAAGTTTTATAAAAATAAAAACTAGAACTTATTACACTTTCTTATTTTAAAATTCTTAGTAATTATTAAAATCTAGAATATTTTATAATTTAACAGTAGCTTATAAAATAATAAATATATTAGATTTAATTCTTAAATTATTTTAATTTTATAATTAATTATTATTTAAAAATAATAAATATTTAATCAGATATCTTATTTCAAAGATTCCAGAATATATTTAAAAAGAAAAATAAATATATTATAAATTAAGAGATCTAGCTATTTTATTCTATACTTAAAAAAGAATTTATTTATATAATATCTATTAATAAAAATCTTAATAAAGAAATCTCTGTTAATTTAAAATTTAAAAAATTAATATTAGATAATCTGTAGAAGCAAGTAGAATAAACTAATAAAAATTTAAAAAAATATTATAAAATAATAACTGAAGACAGACCTAAACTTTTTAAATAATTAAAATTAAAAATCTTTATTATAAAATATTAGCTGAATATAAACTAATATCTACTTTTTTAAAAATAAGTCTAGATCTTTAATTCAGAGTTCTTATAAATTTAAATTATTTAAAAAATTTATAAAATAATTACTTATTATTATTACTAGTCAGATATAAATAAAAATATCTACTAGTTCTACTATAATTATAACAGTTATAAAACTAATTATATTTAAAAAAATTATAAATAAAACTTTTTAAAACTGCTACTAATCTCTGATTAATCTTAATAAAATATTATTATTAATTTTCTAGTAGATCTCCCGGAGTCTTAAAATTATAAAAATATTATAATTATTATTAACTGGTTAATTAAAAATATTATTATTAAAATTATTTTAAGTATAGATATAAAAGACTTTATAAATATATTTATCTAAGTATTTTATAATTATTATAAAATATTTTAATTAATAATTTTAAACTATAATTCTTAATTTATAAATAAATTATAAATAATCCTGTATAAAATCCTGGATATTAAATAATATTTTTTTATTATTTATTATTCTGAAACAGATAGAGCAATAAAATATTAAATTATAATTATTAAGATTTTTCTATAATACTTTATAAATTAATAATAAATTAATTAATAAAAATTACTACTTCTAGTACAGCTAATCTTAAATAACTAAAACTTTATATTAATAAAAATAAGTTTTTTCTTCTTATAATACAGCTTCTATATAAAGCTCTTAAATTTAAGTATTAAAATAGACTTTTTAAAATATAATTAAATCAGGAATTCCTAAGAACAGGCTGAAACTATTTTTAATAAATTTTAAAAAATCTAAAATATTATTAATTTAATAATAATAGCAGTATAAAAAATATAAAAATAATATATTAATTAATAATAAAATCCTGCTTCCTGCTATAAAAAAAATAATAAAATCTAATTAAATTTAAAAAATATTATAATTAACTAACTTAACAAAAAGTTAGATTAGTAGAATATAAAATTTATAATATTAGAATAGATTAAAATATATATATATAAATTAAATATATTATCAGAAATTTATTTAATATTTTATATTAATTTATTTTAATTTATTACTACAGACTTTCTACTTATTTAAAAAATAATTAATTAATAATTAAATATTATTATTACAGAAGATAGTACTAAGAAATATATTATTAAAAAAATTATAAATAAAAAAAATATATTCTAAAAAAAATATAATTATAAAAAAATATTTCTAATTAAATAAAAGAAATATATTAAATTTATATAAAAATTAATAATTAAGTTTTATAATACTGAGATCTATAAATACTAATATAATTTTATTTATTTATTTTATTTAAAGAAATTTATATCAGCTCAGCTGCGTTATAGTAAGAAAAATAATAATTAAAAAAAATTAAATCTTATTAATTATCTAGAATTAGAATATTTATATTTTAATCTATTTAATTCTAGATTTTAATCCGGAGATATCTATAAGAAAAATAGAAATCTCTAAAGTAATAAAGAAATTTACTAGAATTATAAAGAAAAACTTCCAGGAGAGATATCTATAAGAAAAACTAATTTATCTATAGATTAGATAATTCTTTTTCTAATAAATTTAACTTCTTTACCAACTACTGTACCTTACATAGTCCTCCCGGCTTCTTAGCCCGTCATAATTACTGATGGGCCACCTCACTGTAGTGGGCCACCTAACTGTGGATTACGTTATAATGTTCACCGCCCATAAATGTCACACTTTCCCGTTCATACTGTTCATTCAGGGTTGCGAAGCCGCACTTCTCCCTTGGCGGAATAAAAGATATATAGTACAACCTCGCCAGATTACCACAGACTAGACATTATCCTTGTCAAGGATTCTTCTAGACCAAGTCTTACCTCTTAGACATGTATTTGAGCGTGAGTGCTCTGATTGGGACGGCATCTGTCGGCAGTTAATGGTGCGAACTGAGCGATATAGCCTGTGGGCATGGCCTTTACCAGCAAGAACAGTTGACATTGGGTTACAGAGGTAGATATATCCCATCACATCACAAGTCAATGACGCCACCACGAACCCCACTTTTGATGTGAAGGTGGCAGATGCACGTGCGATGTGTGGAGCATAACCTGTGCTCGCTCAACCTGTAGAACGCTGGAGCTACCAGCAGGCTTAGAGACGCAAACAAAGGCCTAGAGTATGAATATAAACACATGTATATAATGGTGTGCTGGAAACGAATTTGTAAGCGCGTGGAATTGTCAGGTTGGTTGTGCTAATACTTTAACGGATTACCAGTCGGAACATCATGATATATCAAACAAGCAAAGATTAAAGGAGATGTTATAGAAGAATATTATGATAGAAAAGAGCAAAATTTCCAGACCACAAGGCTCGCTGGGATTCTATGCCACTGTAACAGTAGAGCCACGACTTTTGTAGACGATGAGTTTGGGGGAGCCGCGAATTCTGAGATATTAGCCTGATGAAAAGCAACGTGCCATGCCAAATGCATCTCGTTGATCAGTAACAGCCAGTTGCATTGCATCGCCAGGGGACAGCCCGCTCCAACTACCCATGTTGAGAAGCACCTTTTACTGTGACTGCCGTTCACAGTCAGAGTGTATTACGTAATCAATAATAAGTGAGGTTGCATGCACACTATTGAACCCGAAGCAATAATTGTTATATAGTTAACTTTGAGTTCCTCAATCTTGTCACATCATTGCTTTTTTACGAGAAGAACTATTGAATGTGATCGGGATTCTGCCTGAGAAGTATGTCTTGTCATAATCCATTCAACTCCGTTCTGAATGTATACTGACTATATAAACAGAGTCTTTAGAGCTCTCTGTAGCTTAATATACACTTATTCCATTTCTTTCTTCATAATTTTACTCAAAAATATCGCTATATATGACAGTATGAAGGCTTTCATTGTAGCAGTTACCTCCTTTATGGCAATTATAGGGCTTGTTGCGGCAATACCTGCGCCACAAGGTATGCAACCCTTGAAGTTTCTGTTTACAAGCTAAACTGATCCCATATGTAAAAGGACTTGCCGGAGACATCGGGAAAGCTACAGGACTTGGGCTAGGTTTAGTTCCTCCAGCTTCAATTGGTGCTAAAGGTGCTACATCTCTATAAGGCTGCAGGTATGTGTACTATAACAGGGAGAATGTTTCACTGCACTCTCAGCAAACAGCAGATAATCGGAGTCATGCAGCAGGTACAGCGTCGAATACTAACAATGGGTAAATTCAAGATACCGCTGCTCCTCAACATACTGCGTAACGATCGGCAGACGGCAGTAAGTACTCTTGAGAAAGTTTACCTTATACCGCGTCATGCTAAGCCCATCAAAGTCTACCCTACAGGAGACAGCGGAATCTGATCGGAGAAAGGAGATGGCTGGAAGGTGCGAATGTTTGGCCAAACCTGCCTCGCACCAGATAAGGAAGGCTTATACCTATGTTGTTTCAACAGAGCCTATGGCAGATCTCTATTAGGACAGAGCTCCGTGCACCCTTTAGTAACAATGAAACATGTTTAGGGGTTGATTCCACCGAGATTTACGAGCTTCTACTACGTAGCCTATAGATTTGAATTAAAAAAAGACTTGAATCTTCATTCTATATTGCGAATCTACCCCATTCATACAACATAGACCGGGAAACCGAAGGTGGGTTTTCCGACTTAAAAACTGCCGTCGGCCTAGATTCAAATGTGGACCTCAGCTGAGCTTAACAAGCACCTTCCAGGGCCCAACAGATAACGTAAGACACACAGCACTGACGATTTTATAGCAGCATATATCAGCGCACATCATTCCTCTAGTTGTAAGGCTCGCAGTAATACGTGACAATGAGGTATGTAATAACGGCGTATACCGGAATTATAGAAGGTTGTGTAGCCATAGCCAAAATTATAAAATGGTAAATGCACTATCATTGTGAATTAATTTGATGTATGTATAAGAAGACATGGTCAAAGTAAGCTTAAACGAGTAGAAGCAACAGCCCCTAGGGGGTTCCCGCTGAAGTGGTTCTGCTTCCAAAGGCAAGCTTATAAAGGCTGCGCGTACCATGCCTGATGCTCCAGTGCTCTAGTATTTGGCTAAATAGTGTAGTTGGGAGGCAAGGGCTCCATCTCTACATGCACCTAAGGCCATACTAAATGAACTCCCAGTGTATTAATCAATCCCTTCAGCAGTACTTACAGGTTTCAATGGCGAGGATGCTATATTGGTACTCTATATTCACAACCTTGACTGATTTTTAATACCATAGTAAGTTATACATGAATGAGAGACTGAAAATTCTTCATAAGTTGTTATAAAATGATTTTTTACCGCGGGGTGACCTTGTCTTCAGGCCCGCGGATAATACTCAGTCGCTTTTATAAGTTCTGTACGTCAGTAAGATCTTAAAACAGCTTACTCCAGATTAAGGGAGTTCTAACTTCGTTGAATCTTCTTTGACGTGTAATAAACAATCTTGATAATATAAATCAGGACTTTGCTCAAGCTTCCTACAAGAACAAGTAGCATGATGCATTCTCTTATATTATTTATAGGTTTGCTTCTTGGTACCATTATATTGACAGTGCCGATCAAGGGCGATAATAAGGTTTATTTATCTCATTTTCTAAATTTATTATACTGGGGACAAAAGGGGGGAAATACTATTAAAGACAATGATCTATCCACGTGCTGTGTACCAGAAACTGGTAATAATCTTCTAGTATTAGCTTTTCTCTATGAGTATGGCAATGGGAATACGATTCCATCGGGTACAAGTGGTCAGTTGTGCTTAATACTACTAAGTAGCGAGTCTTTTCAGTGCAAGAATCTGGGTACTGTAATCAAGAAATACTAAATATATAGAGTCACAGTACTTCTCTCGCTTGGTTGGGTAACAGGAGCATATTCTCTCTTATTACAGCAGGAGGCTGTAATGATTGGCCAGCACCTTTGGGACGCATATGGAGATACGAAAACTGATGTTGTACATCGACCCTTTGGAACAACTTTCGTCAATGGCTGGGGGTTCGATATCGAGACATCTGGCGGTATTTGTTACCAATGTCTCATCAATAATCTGTGATCTAAATTCGACTCCAATCTTTCAAATGAATACTACATTACTGGGGCACCACAATGCCCCGAATATGCAACGAATTATCGCAAATAGTCAAATCGATTATGTTTGGGCACAGTTTTACAACAATCCTAGCTGCTCGGTTAATGGTGTCATCAATTTTGGGTCCTGGGTGACCGCTGGAACTGTATCTTCCAACGCTAAAATATTGATCGGTTTACCAGCCTCTCCTTATGCAGCCACGGGAACATACGACGGAGCTCAGTATTATCTTCAGCCGAGTGCACTGGCGGTCTTACTCCGCGAAGCTGCTAGTTACCCTCAGTTAGGTGGCGTTATCTTGTGATCTGCTGGATTTTCAGATTTTAACATAAATCACGGCTGTAACTATGCTCAGCAAGACTGCAAAATTTTCGACACGGGATCACCATGCTAGATGCTAGTGGGCCCTAATTAGAAGAGGTTATGGAAGAGCCATAGCAGAAAAAGCTTTAGCTAACTAGGAAATTTACTACTAGTTGCCCAATAAGGAGCCTGTCTGATTCAAGAGTGGGCCTTGACCTCACTGTACATTGTGGGCCAAATGACTCGCGAATGCCGTCATATCCGGTGGAATGATTCACGCAATTATCCCCACCGTTCAAATTCGCCTTTTTCAGTAACGGTTTCTGACACATTCAGTACATTCTAATGAGGAAAGAAAAAAGGGCTTTGTTTCTACGCATTTCGGCTCCAACCTAACCCACGCTCTTGTACACGAGTGTGTGTGGGGTCAATCCGGTATCGGATTTGTAACCATTGCTAGTCCAAAATTTCCTCTGTCTTATAATCAAACTGGACTGCTCATTTCTGAATTTTGCCAAATTAATCCACAATGGCACCCAAGATCTCACCGACTTGGGTTCTGCCCTGCCAAAATGGCATCGAAAGTCTTCAATTACTCGAAGAAACTCCTGTCCCTGAAATTGGGGACGATCAAGTATTGGTCAAGGTTCATGCAGCCTCTCTTAATTATCGCGACATAGTAATTGCCAGGGTATGTGTCATCTTTATCCAAACTACATGAGAAACCCCAAAAGCTTCTTTCGCGTCTCTGAGACCACCTGCTGATGAGCACAGGGTGAACCCAAACTATCCCATTTCCGACCCGGCGTCATCCCCGGCTCTGATGGCGCCGGAATTGTCGAGGCCGTCGGTTCCAACGTCAGTGGCTTCCGACTAGGAGATCGAGTCTGTACGCATCTCACATCTGGTCTGCCGTCCGATAAGGCGGCATCTTGGAATGATGTCTGCGAATTCGGACTGGGTCATAATTACAATGGCACACTTAGTTCATATGCAGTTTTTCACGAATCGTCTCTTGTTCATATGCCTGCGAACTTGGACTTTTTACAGGCGAGCACGTTGACTTGTTCGGGGTTGACTGCCTGGAACGCTCTTTTTGGACTTGAGGGATTGAAGCCTAAGAAGGGAGATTGGGTTCTTATTCAGGGGACTGGAGGTGTTTCGATTGCAGCATTGCAGGTGAGTCTAACTTTGCTCCAGGATGCATTACTTGAAACGAACATTTTTAATGAATATGACATTTGGTAGTTTGCCTTGGCTGCAGGGGCTACGATCATTGCAACAACAAGTTCCACCGTCAAAGCCGAGCGACTCAAATCCCTTGGCGCTCATCATGTCCTCAATTATCGGGAGGATCCTAATTGGGGAGAAACAGCTAAAGGTTTCACTCCGAATAGCCAGGGAGTAAACATTGTGGTTGATGTGGGTGGCTTATCGACTCTCCCGCAATCAGTTAAAGCCATTCGCGCTGGCGGTCTCATTGCTCTGGCTGGGTTACTTGGTGGTGCATCCGAGAATGCTTCCATTCCTACGTTGATGGATTGTCTGGTCAATACTTATATAGTTCGAGGACTCATGCTTGGCACTCGTGATCAGTATCGCGAGATGAATCAGTTCATTGAGGAGAACGACATCAAGCCCATTCTGGATGACCAGGTCTTTGATTATAGACAGGCCAAGGAGGCTTATCATTATTTACAGCAACAGCGTCATTTTTCAAAGGTTTGCATTCGGTTTTAGAGGGGGGAAGCAGTCAATGTATACTATGCTGATTTGGATATGTTGGTTGCGGATTTGAGAAAAGTTCGCTTTGTATTCATATGTTTTCTTTAGTGACATTCCTGTGCTATCTCATTCGATGTTCTCATTTGGGATGGTCTTCGACTCTACAGCTTCAGCTGACCCCGATTCTGTGGCCCAGAGCAGCAAGAGGGTTCGGGATGCTGGGTGGATCTGTTGAAGGACTGGCAGAACTGCGGAAAGTCAAGTGCTGGGTTCTTCGTGAAGAAACCATCGGGTTTAAGCATGACGCTGAAACGTTCCATCGGCATAAAATACCCTAATACATCTTACACCAACCCTAGAAGCAAAGGAACCCCCAATTCCATACATCATCAAACTCATACATCTCTCAAGCCTGATCCATCCCGAGTTTCCGCTGCGCAAACCCTCGCGTCCACGGACCGGCAAAATACATCGGAACGGCCATCGCCGCGATAACCGCACAGATGATCGCCTGGACATTCATCGACCCATGATACCCAATCGCCTTGATACTCGGAAGAACAGCATAACTCAACCCGAACCCAACCAGCCCACGACCGGCACAGATGACAACCAACAGCGCCGCCGAGCGCATCGGGAAGCTGTCCAGCGCGTACGTGATCCCCACGATATTAACCCCAAGAAACCCGAAAAAGACGCCCTGGAAGGGAACGGCGATGGCGCTCCAATGCCATCTCGACGGGAATGATCCGGCCTGCCCGTACAGAACTGCACTGACAACTCCGGTGATAGACGGCATGACCAGACTGAGAAATCGATACTCGGGTTTATACTGTCCGCGGTTGCGCCGGCTCATGACGCGGATTGCGTAGTCGCTGCCATACCCAAGCAAAGGGAGGAAAATAAAGCAGACGATGATCTGTGCCGCTTGGACGTAGCCCAGACTGGTGAAGGGGAAGGCGTACGGTGGCGCCAGGAGGATCGTGGAGAAAGTGGATGACTGGAAGATGTATACGCCGAGGAATGCGCCGTTGAGCAGGAATAGCCAGAAGATGGACGGCACGCAGAATGCCTGGACGAGGTGTCTGTAGAAATCCGGGATTCTGCGCCACTGGGGGGTGACCTGGACGAGAGTCATGTGGCCGAGGAACGAGCGAGGCTGCTGGGTTTGGAGAGAATCCACCGAGACGACTTCCTGGTGAGTGGTCTGCGCGTCGTCCTTACCGAGGGTCGTTGAATCGTGCGATTCTCCACGCATTGCTTCCGGGGTGCGCTCGAAGGCGGTTTCGGTTACGAACACGATGCTCAAAAGGAGGATCGCCCCGTTCAAGATGGCGAAGACACCGTACCACCATCGCCAACCCCAGGCATCAACCATGTACGTGGACGCGATGTAAAACGCGCCGCAGGAGATGTTCTGGATAAATACAAACCAGGCGACCTTGCGGCCGCGCTCATGCAGGAAACAGATCTCGTGGATTATCATCGGTGCAAGCGCCTCGCTCTGCCCGGCGGCTATCCCCATGATGTCCCGACCAGCTATATGGCTGTCGAGGCTCTTGGAAAATGCACACCAGATGCTTGTCACCACTAGCAGTAGAATGCTGAAAACGAAAACTGGCCGGCGCCCAAGTGCCAGGGCCAGTGGCATGCTGATTATATTGCCGATGCCCATGAACAGCGTTGGGTAAGTCATGAGGTCGTTGACACGTTCTTGTCCGGGATATTCGGCCTGGATGACTGAGAGGATTGGCCCCAGACCCGAGACGAGCACCACTGCGCTGAAGCTATACGCGGAGATAAGGACTAAGATCATCCATTTCCGCCATGCGGGCAGCTTCAGCGGATCTGTAGACCCGGGGATCAGTTCGGCTATTTCCCCCGGAGGCCACGAAGCAGACTATACCGTGGGGATCCGACGAAGGGGTAGGGACCAGGACAATGTGGTTATCGGAAACTAGTTTGACATCGCCTAAGCGATGCCTGGTCTCCGAGAACACATGAGTAGTCTTCGATATGGCGCTGTCTTCTGCCTGCATGGCGCATGCAGATAGATAAGCTGGGACGGGAGGATGAAAGAACCAGCGCAACTCAGTGTCCCGTGCATACAACAAGCCTCTCTTATAGACAACTAGGATACCCCGCGAAGTAATGCAGAATCCGGGGTTCGAAGTGTGGGGGAACCTTATGTCCAATCCTTCGCGTTGACGGACCCGACGAACCGAAGCGAGGCGAAGCGAAGCGAGACGACCCGAAGCGAGATGGCACGAAGAGATCTGGGTGTCATTTACCTGGGGAAGCCATGCGGTTGAGAGACCTTTACCCTGGTGGTGTGTCCGAGACCGTTCACAGTTATTGAATATCCCATTGACCTCAGCCGAACAAGACAATGAAGAACGACGCCGACATCCCTACCGAGCCCCTGCTACCACCAGCGATAGGACATGCCGGATATCAAGGCCTCAATCCCCGCATCGAGATTCTCCACCAAGGCGACCGTCCATTCAGTGCTCGAGCCCTGCCCTGCGATATCCTCGTTGAGCATGATGTCGCCATACAAATGCGAGACGGTGTGAAACTGTACGCCGACATCTATCGCCCGACTGCAACGCACGACCGAGTACCGGCCATCCTGTCCTGGAGCCCCTTTGGAAAGAAGTTCAACGGCATCCAATGCCTTCGACTAATGACTCCGTGGAATCTCGGGATCCCACCTGACGCTTTGAGTGGCTTGGAGAAATTCGAAGGCCTTGATCCGGCCGAGTGGGTCGACAAAGGCTATGCGATTGCAAATGTCGACTCGCGCGGAGCCTTCGATTCGGAGGGCCGCATGGTAATCATGGGCACCCAGGAGGCCGAAGATGGCTTCGACACCATTGAAGACCTTGCGTCGCGCGAGTGGTGTAACGGGATGATCGGCATGGCTGGTAATTCGCACTTAGCTATCGTGCAATGGTTCATTGCCGCGCTTCAGCCACCATCATTGAAGGCAATCGCGCCCTGGGAGGGCTGTGGCGACCTATACCGGGAGCAATTTGCTCGAGGGGGGATCTACGGCGGAGATATGTTCGACCAGCTGATTGTGAAACACATGCTACGGGGGCATTCCGGCATGGAGAGCTTCCGGCTTGCATACGAGACATCTCCCTTGATGAATTCATGGTGGGCAGATAAACGGCCGCAGATGTCAAAGAGCAACATCCCCACATACATCACCGGAACCTGGACTAATTCCATGCACGGCATGGGCGCCATTCGGGGATGGATGGAAATCACCAAGACCGAGGATAAGTGGCTGCGATTCCATCCATACCAAGAATGGCACGACCTTTGGGCCAACAAACAAGCCCAGGAGGAGCTACTCCGATTTTTCGATCGCTATTTGAAGCTCCAGCAGAACGGATGGGAATCGACGCCGCGCCTTCGACTGGCGGTTCTCCGATATGAGACCGCACCGCCACTGGTGAACGTTGTGCACGATGACTTTCCCATTCCACATACGATCTACCGCAAGGCATACCTGCGCCATGAGGGGTTGCTCTCACTCGACGAATTCGTTCCGTCTCAGGCCGTCATCGGAGAAGTATCATATGATTCCCAGGACCGTTCCGACTTCGTCTCGTTTACGTATTTATTCCCACAGACGACGCAGCTTGTGGGAATCGCTAAAGCCGTGTTGTACATGTCCTGCCCTGCAACCGATGATCTGGATATTCATATCATCCTCTGCAAGATTTCCTCGGACGGAAAGGAACAGAGGAGCCTGAACATTCCCTGGGACAATATTCCTGTCTCATCCATCGATGAGATCCCAGACGAATATCAGTCAGAACTTATCCTTTATAAAGGCCCGGCGGGCGTTCTTCGCGCCTCACACCGGGAAGTGGATGTCTCAAAATCGCTTCACGAGAATTGGCCTTTCCACCCTCATCGGAAGGAACAGAAAATTCCTCCCGGGCAAGTCACACGGCTTGAGATCGGGATATGGGCAATGGGCGTTGAGTATGCCGCTGGCGAAAGCATCCAGCTCCAGATTAGTGGTCACTATCGGGGAATGACAGATTTTAAAGGGCAGGAGTCATCAGTGAACAAGGGAAAACACGTGGTGCATTTTGGTGGGGGGTACGATAGTCATCTTGTCCTTCCATTTTTAACTTAGCAAGCTTACAGTGGGTAGGTCGTTGAAATATCAATGGAAACTGATCTGTATTCCTAGCTGTGAAAGTAAAAAAAAAAAAAAAAAAAAAAGACCGCGAGACCACACGAGGTATGCCTGATACAGGTAGATCTCATGCAATTCTTGATATAACAGAATATACATGGTACATCTATGGTACTGGGTGCACCTCAGTCAAGTACGATATGTCAGACTCAACACGATTGCTGTTTTCAGGTAACGATATGTTCCTAAGAAGCAGTGTATATAAACTAATGCAGTGTTTATAGTTGCAAGACAAGGATACACCCAACAGTAATCCATCCAGCGCACAATCCATACCCGTCTTAACATTGCACTATTGCAGTCCGCCTAGCATAACATGATCTCACAGCGATGGGATATCGGCGCCACAAGGAAGTAATTCTCAAATTTCATACTATCCTCTGTTGTAGAAGGAGCCAGTCTCGCCGTCGGACACTTCAGAAAGAAGATCACCATCCCGGTAAAGAGTTCCAGCATCGCAAGATGCATTCCGATACACACTAAGATAGTATTCGTCAGTGCACGACTGGAATGCTACACGTCTCATCCTCACCTCTGGACCCTGCCCCAAACGGATGAAATGCTGCGTTCATTTCGGGAGTCTGGCTGAGCCATCGATCGGGATCGAAACTGTGGGTGTTTAGAAACATTTCGTGGATGAGGGAATCACGGACCGGACGCTCACGTTTCGGGTCCTGGAAAGTACAAAGGATCTCTATGAATCGAGAACGCCTGGGTGCTCACGGTTGTTCCACCGGGGATGTTATACCCTCCCAGTTGCGCGCCAGATAGCGGCGTGGTTCTTGGGAGACTGCTCGGAGCGGCGCCGTAGAGTCTCAGTGCCTCGTTCACAACTGCCCTGAGGTATTCCGAGCGCATGAAGTCGCTTGCGCTGGCATCCACGGGAAACTTGCGAATTTCCTGTAGTACGCGCTCTTTGACTTTTCGATTCCGTGGCCGGAGCAGCGCCCAGATCAAGTACGTCAGTGAAATAGATGTGGTGTCGGAACCAGCGATAATCATATTTGAGGCCTCGACTGCGATGTCATCTATCGGAAGGCCTTGTGTGTTCTTCGGGTCCAGGAACTTCGAGAAGAGACTCAAAGTGGGATTGTCATTTTCAAGAAGATGCGTCCTATGATTCTCAATCGCCTGCTGCCCATATCCTTGTAACCTACCAGGCAGAGACAGTGCCTCGCGCATTGCTTTGAGAGGAAGCCAGCGTAGAAGACTAAACAGCCAGCCAAGCTCAGCCCGCACGCCAGATATCATCATGGTGACCTCCAGATCCCGGATATACTGTGTTTTCCGCTCTAGTTGCAACATGTCGAATGAGCGGCCAAACGACAGCTCTCCCGCAATATCTGTCGCCATGAACGTGAACCACTTGAGGATATCCGCAGTTCCAACCTCCGCGTCTCGCTGGATCTTGGACACTGCAAGCTCCACCTTCTTGCGGACGATAGGCTCAAACTTCAGTATTGATGTGTTGGCAAATCCCTGCGCGAAGGCCTTCCGGCGTGCGGCGTGATCCCTGGGATCTGTCATGGCAAAGATCCCGGGACGGGGACTCGTCACGAACTTCAGATACCAGGGCGCCTTTTGGTATCCGCTTCCAATCTGGTGGATGGTGCGGAATGTCTCGAGCTTTGCGATCGCTATCTCGTCGGGGGCGATCCGGACGATGTGTCCTGTGCGATAGTCAGCGGGTCAGAGCTGGTGCGATTCCCATCGAAGGATTGGATGTATACCGTATTTCTGATGCAAATCGTGGATGTACTGAGATCTCCGCCCTCTAAGAACAGCGATTTTAAGAAAGAGCCGGGTGAACCGGGCAGATACTGGGCCGGGGATCTTTCTTAGAGGATCCAAGAGCAACCCGTAGATCATTCGAGCAAGCAGACATAAAGAAGCACATGCTGCTAGGAAGATGAATTTTGACGTCATTTTGCTGACCACTAGGTCAGACCTCACCAGATCATTGCTATGGGCACCGTCTAACTAAAGAAATATGGACCACGGCATCGTAGAACAATCCTCCACCTGATTTCCCGAGCGGGGAGTCTCTCTGCACCAGAAATCTATCATGAGGCCCGAACGCTGAATGCTGGAGATAGTGAAGCGAGCCTATCCGAAGCGAAACGAAGCGAAGCGAAGCGTGCCAGATATCGAGATAAGCATCCAAGCCGGGCTGGCTTCTCGTATTAATGTGCGCTTTCCTCCGTCTGCTGTAGCTCCGAGCACACTTTCCACCATACGATATGTCCACCACCGCCGAGACAGCGAGAGCATCTGGCCGTCTTTTCGCCGGAGGGGTCGACGCCAAATATGGTGACTTCCGAGACGACCTCCTTCGCGACGGTTATGCCGTCGTGAAGCAAGCTGTCCCGAGGGAGAAAGCATTGGCCTATTCCGACGAGATCTTCCAATGGCTCGAGGACTTGTGAGTGTAGCATCACCACCAGAACACCCCAAACTAACCTCGAGTGCCAGCGGCCTTGGCTTTCGACGCGACGACCCCAAGACCGTGCACAAAGATTTCCTGCCCGACATCAATGAGAAAGGCATGTGCTTGGGGTATGGCGTGTCCCATGAATCTTTCACGTGGGCTGTCCGCCAGGAGCCCGGTGTTATTGAGGCTTTTGAGAAGGTCTATGACACCCAGGACCTGATTGTCTCCTTTGATTCTGTTAATATCTCGTTCCCCGGTAGAACAGACATTAAGCCAAACAAGCCGTGGCCACACCAGGACCAGGACCCCGAGAGACCTGGCTTCCGGTGTCTCCAGGGATTGGTCAATCTGCTGCCTAACGGACCGAAAGATGGAGGGTTGATTGTCTGTCGGGGTGCGCATTTGCTTAGCGAGGAGTTCCATGAGGAATTCAAGAATGAGGAAGACAAGATCTTTGCTTGGTATGACAATCCCCAGACTACGTGACTGATTATGGCTCTGAAGGGATAATCACGATTAGGACCAAAGAATGGTACGGGTTTACCGAAGCCGGCCTCAACTGGCTCAAAAATAAGGGCATGGAATGGGTCAAGGTCACTGCCGAGCCGGGGGATCTCATTCTCTGTGAGCCTGCCTGATACACCATCTGGTTTGGATTGTTGCTGATTATTTATCAAACAGGGGACTCGAGAACCCCCCATTATAACGTTTCCTCTGAGGGTAATTCGCCACGCCTCTGCGTGTACACGTGTTTCATGCCAGTTGCAGATGCCACGCAGGAGGACTTGAAAAGAAAGAAGGTTGCATTTGAAAGTAAGTTCATCTTCTCTTCTGTTTTCCGAGTAAGCACTGAGTGTTTCATCTCGATAAAGATACTCGGATGACAACCCATTGGCCCAACGCCCTCAACTTGGTGGACTTGCCCGTGCTGAGAAACGGGGAGCCGGATCCCTATAATCGAGCCTCTCCAAGACAGCCGGTGAAATTGAGTGACCGGGGATTCAGACTGACTGGAATCCCGTATATCGAACCGACGGGCGCAGCTTGAAGCCTTCGTGCGGGGACCAAGGCCATGACTTTGTGCGTTGTCTTTGTCATTGCTTATCGTAGCAACAATTGAATGTGTTTTTGGAACCGATGATAGTAGTAAGCCTGTATTTCGCGTACCGTATTCGATGCGAACATGTAGGCTATCTAGTGTTTTATTGATTATCTACGCATCCTTCCTGAGCACCTGAACTGACCGATATAGGCAGTTCCGTGGTGTTGCAAAGTGGCCTTCTGACTCCTTGGGAAACATGAAATCGGACTGGCTCAGAGCCTAGTAATCTATCCCTCTTGCATTCTGACGCAATCATACTCCTCCATAGACCCATCCAAAAGACGCATTGAGCTCTATGGTTGCACCCCTGCCGGTCCAAAGGCTTAGCATCCAAATCTCCCCCGCATTTCGGCTACGAGTGCCATGACCTCCCCCACGTTTCCATCCGAGCCAGCCTTGGCCCCGTGGCTTCAATCTTCCTAGACATACAGTCATCTTGATCACCACTTCCATAACACGATGCAACAAGATACCACAAAACCCCCAAAGCGCAAGCGGTTGTCGTTTGCTTGTAATTACTGTCGGTCCCGAAAGACCCGATGTGACGAGCGACAACCGGCCTGCACAGCGTGTCTGCGGGCAGGCATGGAATGCATCACCACTGACAAGCGCAGACCAGGGGTACGCGTGTACTCCCGACGACGGAACCTCGATGCGGCATCTACCAGCGAGAATATTCCTCTTCGGGATACTGTTCCGGACCCCGTTGCAAGTCCCTTGTTGGGATCTGTCATGGGCCTGACGATCCCCGAGTTGTTGCCCATGAATAGTCATGGGAGCACGAGTCCTGAGAGCGTTACGCGGCTCGACGACGACTCATTTCAAATTCGAGACGCCCATCGCCAAAATCCTTCCAGAGAATCATCCTGCACGAACTGCCCGCCAGCCCCGGCCACAGTCCCATCACGCTCCCGGGAACGATACACCGGCCGACTGCCGATGATGCCTCGATTCTGCGGCACAAGCACGGTGCAACTCATGACGAACTGGCTGGACCTTGCATTTTGCAGACTCGGCATTCCGGACGTGTTATCCAGTGCAGGATTGTGCAGTCCATCTTCTCGAAGTAGCACGTCTCTGCCCACCTCTCATCTCCATCCTACCGGGCTACCGGATCCGCCCACACATGTCGAAGCGACAATGCATCTGTCGAAATATCTATCCGACGTCCATCCGATATTCCCAATCCCCATCCAGGGCGTCCTCGAATCAGTCCACTCGACCATCTTCACCGCGGCCGATTCCCCCAAAGCACTACTCGCACAGCAAGACCCGCCCCTTCAGGCGTTGTATTGCGTGGCCCTCATCTTGGGCGCAGGTGCTGCGAGACCTACAAGCACAGGTTTCAAAGCGGGCGCCTGGATGGCGTACTGTAACAGTCTACTTGGCCACCTGATCGGCTACCGAACAATTCGCTCCATCCAGGCGATCTTTCTCCTATCTCTCGCTTTGCTCGAATTCGACCGAGTCTCCGATTCTCACGATGTTGTGAAACTCGCAATCGGCATGGGCCAGTCCATCGGTCTGGGTGGAGGCCAACGACCGAGAGGATCATCAACCCACCCCGATGAGGGAATAGAGACATGGTGGTGTAGCGTGGTGTTTGAGAAACTCCTCGCATTCATCACCTGCCAGCCATCCAGCGTTGGGGGGATTGATCCGGGCCTTGATCCGAGTGGTCGGGCCGATGATGGATCGAGTACGGACTTGCATTTCTACGCGCTGAGGGGCCTTGGGAGGACATTGCATGAGATCAACGACCAAGCTATCCGGGTATGGGAGATGGAAGAGTCTCAGGATCTCTCTCCGGAAGACTCCATACGCGAGAAGCTGGGTGTAGCTGGGAAACTAGTCATGCTTCTCGACGAGTGGCATGAGCAATTAAATAAGCTGCAGTATGTTGGTCTTCGTCCCCATCCCCAAACTCCAATTGGCACTGGCACGGAAACTTATATACCTAAACCGAGACCTAGACTTTTATTAACGTCCTCGACAAGCACGAATGTCCGTCGGAAAGTATTTTTCACCTCGCAGTATTACAACACGTAAGGGTGTTCCTTGCTCCCTCCCAGCCGCAGACCTTATCTCCCTCCCTCACTTACTCACCCATATGCTTGATGCAATTCTAAGCTCACCCTGACCACAGACTCATCCTCCTCCACCGAGCAACTCTACTCGTCGACCGAGACGATCTCCTCCGAGCACTCCGCAAGTATGGGGCCCAGCAACCATGGCAAGACCTTGCCTCGAGCGCCGCAGTTTCCTGCACAGAAGCAGCTCGAAGCATGATCACACTCGTCGTTCATCTCGAGGAGATCAACGCCAGCACGGTCCCATTCCTAATCAATCCCACTTTAGCCGCATCATACGCGCTGTGCGTGCGGATCCTCATCGACCCCGTCCGTAAGATGAATCGTTCTGATTATGAGGTAGGCACGCTGTCTGACGAGCTGGAGCGATGAGTCGGTATACATACATACATACATATTCTAACGACGACAGCTAATGAAAGTTGGATTGCAATTCGCGCGGGATCGACATCGCATGTACAATCCCACTGACACGTTAGATCTGGTATCTAGTGCCATAGAGCCATATCTAGCGTCATGTCTTGTGCCTCCAAAGCAGGGACAGAACTTGCTGCGGAACGCGCCGGTCGAGCAGTTGTCATCCGCCTCGAGCTGGGGAGTGAGTGCGGACGAAGGTCGCCTCCAGCTGGTGACTGGCACTGCGCTACCGAGTATCGATTGGACAGGCTGGAGCTTAGATGAGGTGGATGATATCTCGTTCTCGGCCGGAAGATGAATGAGAAGAGGAGAACGGAATGGCCGTTTGGTTGACACGAACGTTCATAGATCATCGAAAAGAAATCCGCGGATGCTGTGGGAGGAAGGGTTGGAGAAGGGAAAAGGGCGGCCGCCCTTATATGGCCTGGAACCGAAGAGAATATGATGATTGAAGGGGGAGCCGAAAATGGCTCCCCTCCCCAGCGACTGGCGACACACTTCGCTGGGGTAGGAGGCATTGAGCGAAGGGAAACTAAGGGCCGCAGAAGTAGCCCTTTTCGGCCGCTTTCTAACCGTCACATCGTTAAGTGGAGTAAAAGAATATGATAAAGGAATAATTATATTAATCATCTAAAACACACAGCAGAGCAAGTATGTAATAATGCTTTATATAACAGCCTGAGTGCCAACAACACGACCAAGCCTACATAGATGGTTGCCTCTACATCGAACCATGATGGATATTGGGTGTAAGGATCGGCTATCCTGATACAAGTCAATGGACCGTTGCTCAAAATCATACTACCAAAGTATGTCCCCATATTTAAGTTACGTGCTATTTTTGAGCCATGTGGAACCTCTGCGGCTATACGAACACGAACGGAGGTCTCAGAAGTCTATGCGGGAACAAACCAAGCCCCTTCATTCGATGATCCGGGTTAAGCTCTGCAGATCCGTTAGAACCACTTTGTCGATGGACTAGGCGAAATTGCCGCCCGACGTTCCATTCCTTCTGTTTCTACACGGAGAATAACGGCTAAACACTGTTGGCTCCTCAAAGTTTACTGGAAATAAGAGGTTACTCTGAAACTCCATCACATTGAAAGAATCCTAGGTGCGTGCTGTTCGTAGTTTGTGCCTACCAAGCGTGCAGTACGATGGTGCGTGCTAGCGAGGAAAAAAGGCATATGATGCAAATAGAAGTGTCTTGCATACTTTGTTGTTTCAAGTCAATTTAGTTGTATGAAATGCCGCAAGCACCAGTATGAAGGCGTGTTTCTAGGCTCGGGGTGGTGGTGTATTTCGATCAGCATGTTTTTGTTTAAGCCCAGCAGCCGTTAAAGCTTATGGAAAGAATTCGTTACAGGATGGAAAAGCAACGATATGCATGTCAATTAAAAACATAATAAACTAATCTATCAAATTCTATACATAGTACAAATACAAAGCTGCTGGAAAATAATCAAGCTAAGGCTGCCGACAAGCCTCTTGGCTAGACAAATAGTTAAGCATCCGGTGTGTTGAATGTTCCTTGAATACAATCTCTCCCCATAACATCAATCCTCCTCGCATAAATGCAGACAGGGCCTCCAGAAAATCTTTCGGTGATATGATGCTGGCCAACCTCAGTTGGCGCGTGTTTTGTTGTCGAAGCTGGTCAGGGCAGTATGGGTAGCGTAGAATTCACCCTTAGGGTTGTAGTACTCGTCGAACATCAATGGCTTTGCGCCCTTGACCCAGGTGTAGGCATGCTTATCGGTGAATCCCCAAAAGGTGATGTCGGTGACTCCAGCGTCGAGGGCCTCAGTGAGGACGGCGTTGTAGATATCAGTTTCGAGGGTGGTGTTCAGGGTATGGACATCCATCTCTGAGATGGATACCTCCAATCCAAGAGAATTGTAAGATTTGATTATATCCGTAATCACACCGGGGATCGGAGCTACTTCGGTAACGTGCATCTGTAGAGCGATTCCGTCGATCGGGACCTTGTCTGATACAAGTCCGGAGACTAGGTCGTAGAGCTCTTGACGCTTACCGGGAAGCGACTCGACCAGATTCTCGCTGAGAAACAACTTGGCGTCTGGGCCCGCTGCCCTAGCGATATGAAAGGCGTCTGCAATGTATCCAGGTCCAAGCACTTTGTAGAAGTCATTGGCCTGTAGTCCGCCACCCATAGACTTAAGAGCCTCGGTGACAACGTCCCACCGATCCATCTTGCCGGCGTATCGGTGCATGATCGCTTCAAAATGAGTGACCATGGCGGCACGGAATTGTTTGGGATCGGTGATATTGAGCAGGTAATCGGGGTTGCAGCAGCTCGAGATGAGCCCATGCCCCTTCACCACCATGTCGTGCTTCTCCGCGAAGCTGACAAGGCGGTCGGTCGCGTTCCAATTGTAGTGGTTTGGGGTCGGGTGTATGAATGTCCACTTCAACTCATTCTCGGGAGCCAGACTTTGAAACTGATCGGCAAGGACGGTCGCAAACAAAGTATCATTGAGATAATTCGGATTGATAGCCCCGGACCCAATGAGGATACCCTTGCTTTCTGCTACCTTTTTCAACGGGGTGGTGTTGGTCTTGGTGAAGGCATTTGCTCCTTCACTCGTTGCGAGCAACGCGGTAATGAGGGTCGCGGCACCAAAGGTCTTCATTGTTCTGGTTGAACCTATGTTCTCTTTTCTTTCCTGATATCTTGCAATGAATAGCATCCAACTAAAGTCTGCTGGTCAAGGTATTTATAGGTTCTTCAGACGGGAAACATGGCGTCGCAATGCCGTGAATATAGTGGGTCTATCATTCTTGTGCCCGTTGCAGCAGGCGATGAGGACAGAAGCTTGGCACCTGTACGAAGACGAACGCGCCTTTTCATTTGTTGAACCATTGTTCCTTTTTGCCACGAGAAGCATTCCCGAGACTTTGTGACCTGTAACGGATCCTGGATCCTTCGTATACTCGTACAGAGTACACTGCCAGGGACCCACATAAGATTTTTAGCACTGTTGTCTCCTGTTTTTCCTGCTAAGTTTTAAGCTAATCCGACGATCTGCTATGGCTATCCCTGGCTCTAAAACTTAATCTCATGATAAGAATAGGGAATATGTCGTATAGCTTAACGAAAATAGTGGAGGTTTCACTGGCGGTCAATCGGTTCTAACAGAAACTACAAGTTAGACGAAGAAGCGTTCCGGATTCAGTTGCCAGGTCTAGAACCTTGACATACTCTCCTAACCGATTTAAAGGTCAAAGAAGAAGATCGGACGCCCCAATAACCGGTCATTCATCATCTATATTAATAGGCCAAGTCAATGAAGACATTATCATGTCATAGGATATATTTGATATTATCTATGCTTATACCACTGACCCGGGAGAATAGGTGAGTCAGTCAGTAGCAAAGTATATTCCTCTGAAAGCAAATCAAAACTAGTTCTATGGCTTGGGTTTTACATGTCGCAGTAGTGTCTTTTTTGTCGCCAGTTTCAAGGATGAAAATGGTGAAACTGCGATTAAGATATAAGTCTTCTGGTAGATGAAAGGCCTCCCAAGGCGTTCATCAAATATAATCTTGAGGAGCGTTCTACAGCAACGAAAGCAGCAAGACGAACGGAACGAACGCGAATCAAAAGAGTGAGTTGGATTGAGCTATCTAGGAGAGCGAAACAAAGCAACGTGAAGAGGTGCTTTGTGTGGGCGGCCTGAGCGCAGCACGTGGCTAGCCTACATGAATGCCTCAACATATAATACAGATAATTTCATACTAGCTTCGTGCTTCCCTCATCTAAAATGTTGATTAACGCCGAATAGAGAAATTTACGGCTTACGATCCTCGACATCGGAACAGCTTTAGCTCTTATAACACGGTGGACGAATACAAGTTTTCATTATTATAGCGATATCAATCCATGTGTCAAAGTCTGTGCCACTAATAAGTGAAATATGGTGTTGCTCCTTAGCATCAAGCTGAAAACTCGAGCAACATGTTTCCCTTTCAGCGTAATGGCGTAAGGCCACTTCCGAGTTAGGGAAACACGGTTGTTCTTAAATACCATGATATATTTAACATGTCCACAGGATTATAGAACGCATGTCCATTTAATCAGCTTTAAGCCATTACTCTCCATTGCAGATGATGGAAAGCTTGGCGGTGCCTACCAGGAGGCCGAACTATACTGTTTTCTCACTTACCGCTAGACGAACAACAAAATATCACGTCCACTCGACCAAGTGACCGAGGGGAATGTCCCAATTTATACTGATGGTAAAGCTACCTGCACAAATGGCTATGTTGTAATAGAACCTAGAAAGGTAGAAGAGGCGTACTAGAATTCTTTAGCAGACTATTGAATAATCTAAATTAATATATATGACATGTTACAGACATACCAAGTGCCCCTAACGCGGATGGCGATTGAGAAGTATTGACATAGTCAAGGTATAGAGGCCTTGCAGATTTGCCAAACCGCTCTAATTTTCTATTTAGGCGAGCCGCAAACTCAGCGATATTAGTCCGAATAAGAATGCATGATTCTCAGTTCTTCTTGAATGGCAGACGGCTTACTTCTCTGTAAAACAAGGTGGTCAGTCAGCATTAAGTCACCGGGTAGAGAAGACTTCATAATCCGATTATGCCAATAATGTTCCACTAGCGCCATCATGTCTCTACTTAAAGGGCCCATGAATATCAGCCACATGACATGTTCCACCGAAACTTAAGTCAGATAATCCCGATTTGGATGTAAATTGAATGTGGTACAGACTATTGTTTATTGAGGCATACTTTTTCACATATTAAGTATCTCGAAGAAATATCTTGTACAAAATAAAAAGAGCGCTCGCCCCCTTCCTACATCACTCTACAATTTAATTCTCCTCATGTTAGATCTTTGTTTACAGTTACCCCAAGAAACTTGTCCACCTTTAACAATATGAAGACTTTTACTGTTGTCGCTACTTCTTTCCTGGCAGTTGCTGGCCTTGTTACAGCAATCCCTATGCCTCAGGGTTTGTATCCCTTGAAGCTGCTCTCCTGTTATATCATGTTAATTCTCTCTGTTTTACTATGACATACTCCAATGACTTCAGCATGCTGGATCCGATTGACGAAGCCTTCGAACAAGGGCTTAGCCAAGTCGGACCTACTACGTTATTGAGTGTGCTACAGCTCACCCACTGAGCCTCTCCACTTTGTCGAGGCGACGAATAGTCTGGTGCTAATCCCATTATAGGTAATGCTGGACAATCTATGGCTGACCCGGGGAACGCAGCTGAGGAGGCAGTCAATGTGCTTGCTGGAACTGGTAATACCTTAAACGAATCTCCAGGCGCTGCTCCTGCTCAAAAGAATGCGCCGCAGTTACAAAGCACAGGTAGGTATCTGTCTTGAACTATAAGCTGCGTGATACTATCTCATACTAATTGATTTCAAGTAAATGCAGCTGGGGGGGAAGTCGGGGCTCTAGTCGGAATCATAAGGAAGTAATTGGAATGCCTGAGTAAACAGCCAAGGCTCCTCATTCCCATGGAGGAAAGGTTGGTAGTATATATTTTCTCGATTGACTTAGACCCATAAACGGGGTCCCATCATACTGACTGCCAATAGAATATTCTATTGTACGGTTAGGTAGTACTGAAGGCCTGTACTTGGCGGGAAGTGGGATGTGATGTAGTTGAGAAAAATGGGATTTAAGTCAAGCCGGGCCTCGCTAGATCGTTTCCCTCTCATGATGACAATCATGATGGTGGTATGATGCTGGTGTTGTTGCCATTCTTTTGCTGGACTCGAGTTCAGGAACGGATCCTGGCGCGGGAGCTAGTCCTAGCTGATAACAAGCTGCTATATCAATCTGGAGCTCTAGTATTTCCTGCTGGAACTCAATAGATATAACTACCAAGCCTCAAGTACGATAGCGTACGACGAGTAGATATAGAAAACAATATGTAGACTAGAGTTGAAGTTTACTTATAGCATCAAGCGAGTACTGGGCGCATTGCTACTCACTCTCACCATTCCAGTTCCAAACTTTGAAATATTATGGCCCAGTTGGAAGCCAAATCTTCCAGGTGAGCTACAATGTTGGGGGCCGCAAGGGTTTTGTTTTAGGTTAGTGTTCCTCTGGATCTGCAAGCTTCTACTACATGGACTATCTAACGTATGTGAGAGTAGTCCTGTCACAGCTCTCATTTACAGTTCTTTATCAAGGAAAAGTCGTAAAGGTGACGCCTGATTCATTAACTGTGAGAATTTCCATGGTGGTATCCTTGTTAGTTAAGTTTATCAGAGAAGAATGTATAGCGCTTTAGATCAAATAGCATGCTATTCATCATATATGCTGAATCTACTCAAGAGTTATCAAGATTGCTTGAAGGAATATCAGGGTCTGTGAAAGAAGCCGATGAGGAAAATGGAAAGAGATTAACAAGGATGAATCCGCTCACCTAGTATGAAGGGGGGCTATTTTAAGTCTGGTATAATGACAGGTAACTGTATCAGAATAGTAGTAACACAAACCAGCTGCAGGTACACAATTACACAATCGGAACTTGACCGAATAGCCGGATAACCCATATTCATATCTATCTCCTGATGACTGATCCCTTTTCCGGCCGTTTGAAACAGAAACCGGTCAAGTAAGCATAAAATCAAGGCGTTTAAGAAGCCAAAAGGCCTAGAGCCAACTGCTGGATTCAGCCCAGTTTAATAATAACCATACAGACCTTCAGAATTCCGCAAGCGATACCAAGTTCATCCAACAGACAATTCCAATGTGACATCTTCCGGCACATATCGTGCTCATACTAGTTGCAGGTAGTCTTCAAACCTATATCAACAAAACTAAACCTGAATACGATTTCAAGTCACCGTCGTCCTAACCCAATATGGAAAGATCGCCTTGAAGTCCTCGGAACACAGTCACAAATGCCTGTTGAGGTAAAGCCTGGATACAATACCACATCAAGCGATAAGCATGTGTAATTGAGTGGTCGGACTAACCAGATGATAATCATCCCTCGGTCGGCTTCGATATCCGATGCATCTACGGAGTACTTCGTATCTAACTACATATCGGTTCCCTTACATACGCGGCTCAGATCTACCCCTCTTATCTATACTATCCTATTCTGTCTTATCGAGAACTCCCATGATATGCTAAGGATCAGAATGACATGGTTGCAGAGTATGATTCTTGCCCCTGTTCCACTTCCGTACAGTTGACAGAAGAAACAAGCGATTGGTACTTTTGAGAAAATCATTGCTTTAATAGGGTATCGAAATATGAGCAACACTGCTTCTACTAACGTAATCCACGGTTAGGTGGCCCACTACGGTGAGGTGGCCCATCTGGTTATCCCATATAAAAGAAGCCTTTTTAAATCTTTTATATCTCAACCACTACAAAGATTGATTAGTTATAACTTCATATATAAATAATATATAATAGAAAAATTGATATGTATTTTTTCCAGAGTTTTTAAAATTTTTCTTATATAAGATATATTGATATATCTAGAATTACAGATAAATTATATATATTGTATTATGAAAAGATACTATTTATATTTACATATAGATCTCTGAGGAGTACTAGATATTTATTTATATTATTTATAATCTATTTATATAATATTGAGTCTTCCAGACTTATAATGGTTGAGTTATCTTGTGTTTAAAAAGAGTCTTTTGTATAGTATTACTGATGGGCCACCTCACCGTAGTGGGCCACCTAACCGTGGATTACGTTAAAGACAGACAGATAAAAGTCATCAAGATTTAATGGTCCCTTTCCGTTTCCCTAGCTCAAGTCCCTTCATCAACCAGTCATCATACAAAAGCTCCAGCGCTGTCGGTCGGTCAGAAGGATTCCATTGCAAAGCCCGTCGAATCCATCGCAGAAACCCATCTTTGTCTTCGCCTTTGATATCGATAGCCAAAGATTCCAAGGTAATATCAGGAACCGGGGCTAATCCTCCCCAGGCACCGTAGTTGTCCCAGAAGACAGAACTGAGATGACTTCGTTCACGGAACTCAGGTGGTGGGGAGCCTAAGAGTGCAACCAATTCTGCAAGGTGGACATGATCATCAAATATGCCCTCTGTATTTCTGCCTCTGATGAGTGTGAATGAGCTCACAATGTCCCACGCCTCCAGGATACAGATTAGCATCCTTTCAATTCCAGTAAAGTCAATAATTGATGAATGCGTGTAATAGACTTACAACCATAGCAACACTCCAAATATCAACCTTATAATCCCAGCTTGCTTTTAGAATCACTTCAGGAGCCCTGTAAGGATTTGGCATATTATCTTCGTTATGTTTCTCATCGCCAAGTCGTGCTTCACCAAAATCACAGAGAAGTGGTAGTCCGTCTCCAGGAGGGAAGCGCGAGGACCGGTAGATAATACGGTCCTGAAGCACCTTTCGTGCCGATGGCATCCTCATCTCCTCTTCCTCAAACTTGAAAAGCGCCTCTGGCTTTGGTGTGGGCAAAAGCAAGTTCTTCAGCTGAAGATCTAAGCAAATTAGCCTCTCGATATCGCTAGATAAGAAGGCATACGTACCCGTGTGAATCACACCAGCTACAGAATGCAAGAAATCTAACGCAATGAGTAACTGTCGGATGCATACTTTCATATCCTCAAGAGTCACCGTATTTCCAGGAAACCATTGCAGCAGCTCACTCGCACTTATTCCTAGGGGTTCGTGAACAAGACAAATATGTTGCCCATGGCGACCCGTGATAATGAAATGATCGAGTAATTTTCGAATGAGACTTCTACCAGGATGTTTGAACTTTGCTGAGTTCATATGACGATAGATATTCAATTCATGGTCTCTTTCCTCACCTGTTACGTATATCTTCAAAGCGACATAGCTGGAATTTCTGTAGTACATTGTAAATAAAAGCTCCACCCAGAAAGTAGATAGTAGTCAAGATGTACTTACACCAAGTCACGACCAAACCATACAGTGGAAGTGACTCCGTAGCCTATTTGGCTAAAACCTGATATCGGTTGTTGAAAATTTCCCCCTGTCGGATGGGATAATATCTCTGGGCCTGATATGTTGGTAATGTTTCTTCTTCAATACGTAAGGATGAGTCGAGTAATTTGAATCCAGAAGATGGAAAGTTCCGTGGCATAGATGTCCACTGAGGGGAGACCAAAGGTCTTTGTTGTAGGTACCTTCTAGGGCATTTGGAAATGTAGGAATATAGCGGGATGTAGGATTTAGAGAGCAGTGGTTGCTTTGAGACCAGCCAGTTCAGAGAAGCAAGAGGATTGCGGTGGTATCTCGAAGACCGATACATTAGGACCCTCAGTTCAAATGAGAGGAACTGAGTGTAGCAAAGGTGCAGCTGAAAGGGAATGATAAATGATTATGGTATATAATCACTCTGCCAGAAGAAGCTTGATGGTATATAGCCCCTCGGTGAAATCGAGAAAACTCCTGGAGGATCACGTGGAACTTAAAGCCGTAGGCAAAACTTCACCATTATTTGTCTGCATTTTGTAGGGTGTGCTGAATTTAAAGGATTTCAAATTCCTAAGTTCTACAAGAAATTAGCTAACTAAATCTACCTGATGTACGGGGTGTTCCTGAACATAGTAAATCCCGACTACGGATGGAATGTGACATACAATCTATTGTTATACTCTCCCAACATCCGCAATCGAATTCCTTTCTCAAACACGGATGGAAGGAGCACTTTGCCTAGCTGGTTATAACCCCTAAAATGCGAGACTGTGCAATAATTTCCGCAAACCCACCCTCTCTCCCTTCACGAGAAGCGAGGAATTTCCACGTCTTATCCTGGTGGATATGGATTGTACCAATACGAGTTCCTGCATTAGTCTTCAGTCCCACTGTGACAACAAGGCTTTGATCCTCTCTGTCGTTAGAAGAGAGGTGAGCCTTGGAGCCTCTATGCGATGATACTAGATGACTGGCTCAATTGAAGTACGGTGATGCCTACTGAATTTCTGCCGTAGTGATCTCTGGAACCTGGAAAAATCAGCGCCAACTATTCTTGGCTTGTGATCAAATCATCTTACAGATTTCTCAATTGAATTCCACAGCACACAGACTATGTTGCATCGATCCATACAGGGCCTTTCATGGTGTCATTGGTGATTATCATTACTTCGAGAGGACCTCCAGTGAATTGCATCAAAGAAGCAGAGACCTTGTGGAGGCCCCTCGCAGAGTTCCGACTCATAATGATAGTAAAGATTATATTCTTAATTTTGTAAGTGCCGGGTGTAGGGAATAGAGGACTCCGTAACCTTTTATGGCCTTCATGTTCTCTGTATTCTCCGGAATATACCTTCTAAATCGCAACCCTTTCCGCTCTCTCCCTTAACACAAAGCAGGAATTTACCGGTCTACTCTCATAGCTTTATCTGTCCAGCTGGCTGATATGGCGCCATTTCAATTCTGAGGTATTTCAACGTAATCGAACATGTTAAATGTAGTCTGGAATT